TGTTTACATATTTTGGCTATTGTAAATAATGCTGCTATGAGCATGGGGGTGCAGATAGCTTCTCAAATTGCTGTTTTTATTTCCTTTGGATATATACCCAGAAGTGGAATTGCTGGGTCTTATGGTAGTTCTATAGTTAATTTTTTGAGGATCCTCCATACTATTTTCCACAGTGGCTATAACAGTTTACCACCCCACCAACAATGCACAAAGGTCCCCTTTTCTTCACATCCACACCAGCCTTTGTTATTTCTTGTTTTTTGGATAATGCCCATTCTAACAGGTGTGAGGTGATACTTCATTTTGGTCATGATATGCATTTTTCTAATGACTAGTGATGTTCAGCATCTTTTTATGTACCTGTTGGCCATTTGTTTACCTTCTTTGAAAAAATGTCTATTCAGGTTGTTTACCCATTTTTAATTGTAGTTTTGCAATTGAGTTTGTGAATTCTGTATATTTCAGATATTAACCCCTTATCAGATATATTGTTTGTAAATATTTTTCTCATTCTGTAGGTTGTCTTTTCACTTTGTTGATTGTTTTTTTTGCTGTGCAGAAGCTTTTTAATTTGATGTAGACACATTTGTTTACTTTTTATTTTGTTGCTTTTGCTTTAGGTGTCATATCCAGAAAATTGTTGCCAAGACTCATGTCAAGGACCTTTTTTTCTATGTTTCTTCCTGGGAGTTTCATGGCTTCAGGTCTTACATTTAAGTCTTTAGTTCATTTGAGTTAATTTTTGTGAGTGTGAGTAAGATAGGGGTCTAGTTTCATTCTTTTAAATGTGAATATCTAATTTTCCCAGCACCATTTACTGAAGGGACTGTCTTTTCTTCATTGAATATTCTTGGCTCCCTGGTCAAATATTAGTTGACCATATATATTTGAGTTTATTTCTGGGCTCTTGATTCTGCTCTTTATTCTGTCCCATTGAGCTAATTGTCTGTTTTTATGCCATTACCATACTATTTAGATTACTATAGCTTTATGCTAGTATAGCTTGAAATCAGGAAGTGTGATGTCTCCCATTTTGTTCATCTTTCTCAGGATTACTTTGGCTTTTTGGGGTCTTTTGTGGTCCATACAAATTTTAGAATTTTTTTTCTACTTCTGTAAAAAATGCCATTGGAATCCTTATAGAGATTGCATTGAATCTCTAAAGCCCTTTGGTAGTATTGGCATTTTACCAATATTAACTCTT